TCACGACCCGTTCCTTCCCCCCCCCCCATCACGACCCGTTCCTTTTGGCCCCCCCCCCATCACGACCCGTTCCTTCCCCCCCCCCATCACGACCCGTTCCTTCCCCCCCCATCACGACCCGTTCCACGGATACCCCCCCCCCCCCATCACGACCCGTTCCTTCCCCCCCCATCACGACCCGTTCCTCCCCCCCCATCACGCCCGTTCCTTCCTGCCCCCCCCATCACGACCCGTTCCTCCCCCAACACCTCTCTCACATCTTGGCCCATTCCTCTCTCATCACGACCCACTCCTCCCCCATCATGGCTCATTCCTCTCTCATCACGACTCTGTCCTCCCCCATCATCATGGCTCACCCCTCTCATATCTTGGCCCACCCCTCTCACATCTTGGCCCACCCCTCTCACATCTTGGCCCACCCCTCTCACATCTTGGCCCACCCCTCTCACATCTTGGCCCACACCTCTCACCCCCCCCTCTCACATCTTGGCCCACCCCTCTCACATCTTGGCCCACCCCTCTCACATCTTGGCCCACCCCTCTCACATCACGGCCCACCCTCTCCCCATCACGGCCCACCTCCTCTCCCATCACGGCCCACTCCTCTCTCATCATCACGGCCCCCCCTCTCACCTCCCCATCACACGGCCCACTCCTCTCCCATCACGGCCCACCCATCCTCTCCCATCACGGCCCACCCTCTCTCCCATCACGGCCCACTCCTCCTCTCCCATCACGGCCCACCCTCTCCCATCACGGCCCACTCCTTGGCCCATCCCCTCCACATCCCTCCCCTCTCACATCTTGGCCCATTCCTCTCTCCCTATCATGGCCCATTCCCCATCTCATCATCACGACCCACTCCTCCTGGCCCATCACAGGCCCATCTCCTCTCCCATCTTGGCCCATTCCTCTCCCATCTTGGCCCATTCCTCTCCCATCACGGCCCATTCCTCTCCCATCTTGGCCCATTCCTCTCCCATCTTGGCCCATTCCTCTCTCATCACGGCCCACTCCTCTCCCATCACGGCCAATCCTCTCCCATCTTGGCCCATTCCTCTCTCATCACGGCCCACTCCTCCCCCATCATCTTGGCCCACTCCTCTCCCATCACGGCCCCACTCCTCTCCCCATCCCCCCCCCCATCTTGGCCCATTCCTCTCTCATCACTACCCCTCCCCATTCCCATCATGGCCCATTCCTCTCTCATCCCACCCTCTCCTCTCCATCTTGGCCCATTCCTCTCTCATCACAAACCCTCTCCTCCCCCATCATGGCCCATTCCTCTCTCATCACGACCCACTCCTCCCCCATCATGGCTCACCCCTCTCACATCTTGGCCCATTCCTCTCTCATCATCACAACCCTCTCCTCCCCCATCATGGCCCATTCCTCTCTCATCACAACCCACCCTCTCCTCCCCCATCATGGCCCATTCATTCCTCTCTCATCACTACCCACTCCTCCCCCATCATGGCCCCCCTCTCTCACATTCCTCTTATCACAACCATTCCTCCCCCATCATGGCCCATTCCTCTCTCATCACGACCCATCTCCTCCCCCATCTGGCCCACCCTCTCACATCTTGGCCCATTCCCCCTCTCCATCTTAACCCATTCCTCTCCCATCTTGGCCCATTCCTCTCCCATCTTGGCCCATTCCTCCCCATCTTGGCCCATTCCTCTCCCATCTTGGCCCATTCCTCTCCCATCTTGGCCCATTCCTCTCCCATCTTGGCCCATTCCTCTCCCATCTTGGCCCATTCCTCTCCCATCTTGGCCCATTCCTCTCCCATCTTGGCCCATTCCTCTCCCATCTTGGCCCATTCCTCTCTCATCACGACCCCTCTCCTCTCCCATCTTGGCCCACTCCTCTCTCATCACGACCCACTCCTCCCCCCATCTTGGCCCATTCCTCTCTCATCACGACCCACTCCTCCCCCATCATGGCTCACCCCTCCCACGTCTTGGCCCATTTAGACATGAATCCAGGGATAAGCAACAAAAGCAGTGAAAGGTCTGAGGGGAGACTTCAGGAAGTTCATGCGCCCAGTCTGGAGGGAAGAACGGAAAGGGGGGACATGACTGGAACCTTGAAATATACGAAAGGGGTGAATAAGGTGCAGGAGGGCAGAATTGACCGTATGAAGCCAAGATGAAGAACACGGGGACAGGACCTCCAACTAAGCGGAGGAAAGTTCTAAACTAACCTTAGAAAGTATTATTTTACTGAAAGAATATTCTGATGGTTGGAAGAAACTTCCAGAGGGAGGGGGTCAGTCACCTGGAGTCAAACATAGATCTGCTCTGAGACAAAAAAAAAGGGGTATCAAAACAAATATTGGGTCAGACTCGATAGACCACTTGGTCTTTGCCGTTACTCTTTGATGTTTCTATGGCCCATCCCTTCCCAACCATGTGTCCCTTCCCAACCATGTGTCCCCGGCCTGAGTCACAGTCCATCCCTTCCCAACCATGTAGCCTGACCGGTTTGGCTTCTCTCTCTCCTCATCTCCTCCAGGGTGTTTGTATCTTCTGAAGTACACTGGAGCTGCCTCACCCGGGTTGGTCCAGCCATTGGTATGAGGGGCCTCACCCTATACCTGACTCCAGGGAGCGTAGAGTACAACCATGGTCTTTGTGTCCTCGCTGATCTGTTGGACTTTTTGTACAGATATAAAATGATTGGTACAATCAGCGGAGATCAGATGTATAGAAATCCCAACCATGAACACCAGAACGATATAAAAGAGTTTTGTATTCATCGATTCCTATGGAGAGATGGCTCCACCCTACTAAAGAAAACACAAGACCTAGAGAGAGATGATGCTCCAACCACCTGTAGGAGACCTAGAGAGAGAGATGCTCCAACCACCTGCAGGAGACCTAGAGAGAGATGGCTCCAACCACCTGCAGGAGACCTAGAGAGAGATGGCTCCAACCACCTGCAGGAGACCTAGAGAGAGATGGCTCCAACCACCTGCAGGAGACCTAGAGAGGGAGAGATGGCTCCAACCACCTGCAGGAGACCTAGAGAGGGAGAGATGGCTCCAACCACCTGCAGGAGACCTAGAGAGGGAGAGATGGCTCCAACCACCTGCAGGAGACCTAGAGAGAGATGGCTCCAACCACCTGCAGGAGACCTAGAGAGAGAGATGCTCCAACCACCTGCAGGAGACCTAGAGAGAGATGGCTCCAACCACCTGCAGGAGACCTAGAGAGAGATGGCTCCAACCACCTGCAGGAGACCTAGAGAGAGATGGCTCCAACCACCTGCAGGAGACCTAGAGAGAGATGGCTCCAACCACCTGCAGGAGACCTAGAGAGAGATGGCTCCAACCACCTGCAGGAGACCTAGAGAGAGATGGCTCCAACCACCTGCAGGAGACCTAGAGAGAGATGGCTCCAACCACCTGCAGGAGACCTAGAGAGAGATGGCTCCAACCACCTGCAGGAGACCTAGAGAGAGATGGCTCCAACCACCTGCAGGAGACCTAGAGAGAGATGGCTCCAACCACCTGCAGGAGACCTAGAGAGAGATGGCTCCAACCACCTGCAGGAGACCTAGAGAGAGATGGCTCCAACCACCTGCAGGAGACCTAGAGAGGGAGAGATGGCTCCAACCACCTGCAGGAGACCTAGAGAGGGAGAGATGGCTCCAACCACCTGCAGGAGACCTAGAGAGGGAGAGATGGGCTCCAACCACCTGCAGGAGACCTAGAGAGAGATGGCTCCAACCACCTGCAGGAGACCTAGAGAGAGAGATGCTCCAACCACCTGCAGGAGACCTAGAGAGAGATGGCTCCAACCACCTGCAGGAGACCTAGAGAGAGATGGCTCCAACCACCTGCAGGAGACCTAGAGAGAGATGGCTCCAACCACCTGCAGGAGACCTAGAGAGAGATGGCTCCAACCACCTGCAGGAGACCTAGAGAGAGATGGCTCCAACCACCTGCAGGAGACCTAGAGAGAGATGGCTCCAACCACCTGCAGGAGACCTAGAGAGAGATGGCTCCAACCACCTGCAGGAGACCTAGAGAGAGATGGCTCCAACCACCTGCAGGAGACCTAGAGAGAGATGGCTCCAACCACCTGCAGGAGACCTAGAGAGAGATGGCTCCAACCACCTGCAGGAGACCTAGAGAGATATGGCTCCAACCACCTGCAGGAGACCTAGAGAGAGAGAGATGCTCCAACCACCTGCAGGAGACCTAGAGAGAGAGAGATGGCTCCAACCACCTGCAGGAGACCTAGAGAGAGAAAGATGGCTCCAACCACCTGCAGGAGACCTAGAGAGAGAGAGACGGATCCAACCACCTGCAGGAGACCTAGAGAGAGAGAGAGATGGATCCAACCACCTGCAGGAGACCTAGAGAGATGGATCCAACCACCTGCAGGAGACCTAGAGAGAGAGAGATGGATCCAACCACCTGCAGGAGACCTAGAGAGAGAGAGATGGATCCAACCACCTGCAGGAGACCTAGAGAGGGAGAGATGGATCCAACCACCTGCAGGACAAACAAGACCCAGAGAGAAAATGGCTCCACCCAACTGCAGGATAAACAAGACCTAGCGAGAGAGATGGCTCCACCCAACTGCAGAGACACAAGACCTAGAGAGAGAGAGATGGTTCCACCCAACTGCAGGAGACCCTCACTTCCTGTCCTTGTGTCAGCTGCATAGGATGAGGGGGGGAGGAGTTGTCACCAGGACAGGAAGAGGTTTCATCCCTCCCCTGCATTGCTAGACATGGTTTTATTATTGTCCACTTTAGAGAGATTCCTCATCACTTCCTGTCCTAACGGGAACTGGGAGGGAACTCTCCACAATGGGGGACACCGATGGCTGGAGACCAGGCAGAGGGCGCAATCCTTCCCCCGCTCCAGCCAGAATAATCCCATTTTTATCCAGTGTTCACCTGGTAAATATTGGTGGAGGGAAGATGGCGGCACCCGATGGGCCGGACTTTGCGTCTTTGTGTAAGTCTTGTTTTCTTGTTGCAGGTCCAGGATGCCGCAACTCCCACTGATGATGCCCCCGGAGCGCCCCAGTGGGCCCCTCTTCAGTCTGAAGTTCACCACGTTTGCTGTGAGCACCGTCTGCCTTCCGCTCCTCGGCTTCCTGTTCTGTGTGATCTGGTCATTACTGTTCAACTTCACCGAGACCACGGCGACGCACTGCGGGGTGAGTGTGTACCCGGGGGTGGGGGGTAAAGGGGGCGCTGCTGTACATGGGCACCAAGCTGGATGGAGGTTACCAGAAGATCTCACACCAAGGACATGGGTCACTTCTACACCTCATGCCAGGACAGTATAAGGTATGGTTAGAGGTGAACCAGTCAGAGATCAATAGCCACAAGATCACCATCACTACTATCATCATCATTATCATCATCACTACTATCATCATCACCACTACAACCACCATCACTACTATCATCATCACCACTACTATCATCATCATTATCATCATCACTACTATCATCATCATTATCATCATCACTACTATCATCATCACCACTACAACCACCATCACTACTATCATCATCACCACTACTATCATCATCATTATCATCATCACTACTATCATCATCATTATCATCATCACTACTATCATCATCACCACTACAACCACCATCACTACTATCATCATTACTACAACCACTATCATTATCATCATCACCACCACCACCATCATCACTACTATCATCATCATCATCACTACTATCACCATCACTACTATCATCATCATCATCACTACTATCATCATCACCACTACTATCATCACCATCACTACTATCATCATCATCATCACTACTATCATCATCACCACTACTATCACCATCACTACTATCATCATCACCACTACAACCACCATCACTACTATCATCATCATCACTACTATCATCATCACCACTACAACCACCATCACTACTATCATCATCACCACTACTATCATCATTATCATCATCACTACTATCATCATCACCACTACAACCACCATCACTACTATCATCATCACCACCACCATCACTACTATCATCATCATCACTACTATCATCATCACCACTACAACCACCATCACTACTATCATCATTATCATCATCACCATCACTACTATCATCATCACTACTATCATCATCACCATCACTACTATCATCATCATCATCACTACTATCATCATCATCACCACTACTATCATCATTATCATCATCACTACTATCATCATCACCACTACAACCACTATCATTATCTTCATCACCATCACTACTATCATCATCACCACTACTATCATCATTATTATCATCACCATCACCACCATCACACTACTATCATCATCACCACTACAACCACTATCATTATCATCACCACCACCATCACTACTATCTATCATCATCACCTATCTATCATCATTATCATCATCACTACTATCATCATCACCACTACAACCACCATCAATACTATCATCATTATCATCATCACCATCACTACTATCATCATCATCATCATAATCATCATCACTACTATCATCATCACCACTACAACCACCATCACTACTATCATCATTATCATCATCACCATCACTACTATCATCATCACTACTATCATCATTATCATCATCACTACTATCATCATCACCACTACAACCACCATCACTACTATCATCATCACCACCATCACTACTATCATCATCACCACTACAACCACCATCACTACTATCATCATCACCACCATCACTACTATCATCATTATCATCATCACTACTATCATCATCACAACTACAATCACCATCACTACTATCATCATCACCACTACTATCATCATCACCACCACCATCACTACTATCATCATCATCATCACCACTACTATCATCATCACCACCACCATCACTACTATTACCATCACCACTACTATCATCATCACCACCACCATCACTACTATCATCATCATCATCACCACTACTATCATCATCACCACTACTATCACTACTATTACCATCATCACTACTATCATCATCACCACTACAACCACCATCACTACTATCATCACCACTACAACCACTATCATTATCACCATCACTATTATCATCACTACTATCATCATCACCACTACTATCATCATTATCATCATCACTACTATCATCATCACCACTACAACCACCATCACTACTATCATCATCACCACTACAACCACTATCATTATCATCATCACTACTATCATCATCACCACTACAACCACTATCATTATCATCACCACTACTATCATCATCACTACTATCATCATCACCATCACTACTATCACTATCATTATCATCATCACTACCACCATCACTACTATCATCATCACCATCACCACTGTCATCAACATTACTATCACCATCACCACCATCATCATCATCATCACCACTGTCATTACCACTATCATCAACATAACTACTCTCCTCACCATCACCACTATCCCCACCATCATCATCATCACCACCACTGTCATCAACATTACTATCACCACTATCACCATCTCTACTATCACCACCACCATCATCATCATCAACATCTATCCCCACTATCATCACACCACCACTGTCATCAACATTACCCCCACTATCATCATCACCACCACTGTCATCAACATTACTATCCCCACTATCATCATCACCACCACTGTCATCAACATTACTATCACCACTATCACCATCTCTACTATCACCACCATCATCATCATCATCAACATTACTATCACCACTATCACCATCTCTACTATCACCACCATCATCATCATCATCAACATTACTATCACCATCTCTACTATCACCACCATCATCATCATCATCAACATTACTATCACCATCACCACTATCACCATCATCATCATCATCATCATCAACATTACTATCACCACCACCTTTATGACATAGAAAAGCCTCTCTTGTGCTCCTCCCAGATTTAGTTTCTTTCTATTTCTGAGGCTTCATAGCTGATCCCTGCCTGCTTGTGTCCTTCTTCTGTCCATTGTGACTTCCTTCAGGCCTTCTCATTGGACGGTGGAACCATAGAGTGAATTTTGGCCATGAAGAGGCCCCACCTTGGCAGCCCATACTTCCCTTTCTTTAACCCTTTCATTCCTCTACCTCTCTGTTCAGCCACCGGGAACAAAACGAAATCCCTGTGTGAGCTAAAAGTCTCTGGGGTCCACAGCGGACCATGGACTCCCCATGTGGACTGCTCTGATTGGCTCAGTGCTGTCACATGCTCTGTCATACCTGGCAGTACTAGAAGTTTCCTTCCTGAATGGAGTGGTGATGGTGACAGAAGGGTAAGTATATGCTGCTGGGTGGGGGAGGGGTTAAGACTCACCAGAAATGCACTGATGTGGGTTTCCCCAGAGTTCTCCTGCAAACCAGGCTGTTCCGGAGTAGAGTTCCTCTAAGCTGTGACCTAGACTCCACTGTAGACGGAGTTCCCAGGCTGGGAGTGTGTGGTGCAGTGTAGTCACCGCTAGCTGTGTCAAGTTTGAACTGCACTGCCATGTATGTCAGGATAGTCCTCATTCCCCAGCAGGGTCTTATTTTCAGGATGTTTCTGGTCCAGCAGGACAGGAGGTTGGAGGAGAACGCAGAGGAGGCTGCAGACCATGAAAGAGGATGGTGGTGGCTCATTATTATGAAGGCGGATTCCTCAAATGTCTCTTGAGGGACACAGACATTCAGTAACAGTTGGGTTTTACTGCCACCTACAGGAGTTGCAGAAAACGTTTGAACCCAGCCCCCATATAACCCCTCCTCCACCCAGCATACATCTGATTTTCTGGTGTCCTAGAAGGTTGGACACCTTTCCTTCAGCTCTGCTGAAACAAAAGTCTCACTTATTCTTTGTCTTCTGTCGTTGTGGAATCCACAGTCAAGGTCGCTGCTCTGCTGCTTGAGCTTAGAAGGCCGTACTCAGACTCCACTGGGCTGGATGTGCAGGGCTGGTCTGACCTTCAGGCACTGGGCCCTCCATTGTGGTGCTTTCCAGACCTGAGGCTGGAATGTTGTTTCAAGGGTTCCTCAATGTTGAATACATGGGGAGAACCTCATCTACAGGAAGCACCATCCTGCTGCTGTTCCTTCTCCTGAAACATACATGAATCTCCCGTGTCATTCCACTGCCCACCTACAGCGACTTCTCTTCCAGAGGCCTCCAGTCATCTTCTGCACCAGCTGTCCTGGTTTGTGAGTCCTTGGGGCCTTGTCTCACACTGTCTTCCCAAAGACACACTAGAGGACCATCCGGTTGTCACGGGTGATCTCAGCCCATACTTTCCCAGCGGTTCTAGAGGCATTTAACTTTGGTTTCCAGGAGGAACTGACACCAGGAACCTGGGACCCCTTTTATAGGGTTGTAGTCATCAGTCCTCAGCAGCTCTGTCAGCCGGGGCTGAGACGTTCCCCATATCCATAGGGACCTCTTTGTCTGCTTTGGACTTTCTGTCTGTTGGTGCCGAGCACTCTGCCCGCAGAGGTTCTAAGCAGGTTCCAGTGCTAGCACCAGCAGAGTCTTTCCTGAGCCCATAAATCAAACTAGGCCTTTAGCCCTTGTTGCCATTTCTGATTCAGAGTCCCAGCATTCTGTTTCAGAAGAGATAGTCAACCAACTGGTTTGGCCCTCCATCTCATGTTTTCGGTAACCCTGTCAGAACGGAGAGGATCCTTCCAGAGTGGGGGGTAGGCCCTCATTTTCTCAAGTGACTGGATCCTTGTGCTGGAGTTGTGATGGACAGTTACAGGCCTCAAACTTGTCTCGCCTGGGTCCATACAAATACACGGGGCAGGTTACATGCCTGGAATGCTGATGAACCATCCGAAGAACACTTGGTTCACTTACCCTTCAGAGGACTTCATCTCTTTGGGCTTTCTCTTGACACTGTCATCAGCAATGCCATGAGGAGCCAAATTACACTCCTGCCTTAACGCATGGGGTCAGAGGAATCTTACCCTTTTCCCTCATCTACTGGCAGTAACTATTCATAGGCCTTCTGAACCTAAGTCCCACTCGGGAAGTAGAGGACTGAGGTCAACTACCCCCTTAGGGGGTCTGTGTGTACATCTGGATGGGCCATTACCTAATGCATCACCTTGGTGTTCAGGTGCTCAGGGCACCCTCTTTTAACTTACTGACTAACCCCCTCGTGTGGCATCTTCTTTGG